ATGAAGCGCACGTCATGGCGGCCTACTACCCTACCCACCTTTGTGTCATACCCAACATGGTGTGCACACCTTCACCGTAGACATCTTAGCCCAACCATATTGCTTGGAAGGAAATAAATCTTCCTCCTACGAAGATCCCAATCCAATCCAATTGAGGTACAACAACACAACTCACTACACTTCTATGTAATTATCTCTCGTTCTTCTTATCAGCTCTTACACCGACTTAAGCATCAGAGTGTATGCCGGCACCTCGCTGGCATTAGCTCACATTTTCTTTATGCAGTTCATCTTCGATCCAGCCGTTCGAGTCAAGAATTTGTCTTTCCCCTATTAATAACCCATCGGGTAAAATTCAGATCATCTAGTTCGATTGGCCTCGACATTTACACATCAACAAAAATTTTGATAGTAAATTGATCATCTTCGTTACATTATTATCTCTTAACTTATCTTGCCCTAACTTCTATCTCTCCAGGGTCTCTTATTATTAAAAAAAAAAAAGGGAGAGAGACTGTTTAGTAACAATTTATTATTATGTATAAACTTTTATATGAAAAATAATTTTCAAATCAAATATCCAAAATTTATATGTTATATTTATTTTTAATACTTAAAAGGTATTTTATAAGTCAAGAACTATAAAATAATGTTTTTATTTATATTTAGAAAAAAACATGAGAAAACAAGAGAGAAGAACTTTTTTTTTAATAAGATTTATACACAATTTTAAAAACATTTTTAAAAATGAGAAATTAGCAACACCAATAATTGTCAAATGATTATGTTTCTGAAATGGAAGAAATGAAAAACAATAAACAATAAACAAGAACGTAACGATAACCAACTCTTAGTTAACCGAGCTCTAATGCACATCCAATAATTATAAAAAAAAAATTAACAACTGTGAACCAATTTGATGGAAGTTAATTATATAAATTCTGTTGAGAACATTTCAGCATCATGAACAGATCCATTATTTTTTTCTTTTTTCTTTTTTTTTTATGAGAAACAAATTATTCTACCGATAAGAAATCATGAAATATACATAAAGAAGGGGACCCCTAGAGTAATTCATCATCACATGACACATAAAAATGCCAAACAAGTCACAGAATAAAACACAATTAGTACCTTACTTGTTTCTAAAATTTAATGTACACATTACAATTCCTTCAAGGATCCTTACACTATCACCACTCAGTAAATTTGAAGGAAAAACAAAACACTCTCAACCATTTACATATTGAGCCAGATCTGATCTGAGATCCAAGTTACCCACAATACAAATTATGCAAAAATATAAGAACTGATAATATGATGGCAAAAGCTTATCTCTACAAAAAGAATTGACCTAAAAGTGAATAATTTACAAAAGGAGGGGGAAAAGAATGCCACCTGTGGAACTATATGATTCTGTTGCTACCAGGAGAAAGATTTGAGGTGCCTGTTATGGGGTGATATTGCACTGTCGCAGATACTCGTGGTCGAAATCGACATACTTCATCCAATAGCTACGGTACCTGGGTATGGCTATCTCCAGCCAGGGTTTCATGTTTCCATTGTAATGTATGACAGCAGCTCGTTCAATTTCCTTCTGGTTGATGTTCGGGTTGTATCCGAGGCCTAGAACATGCCAGGATCGATCTAGAGGATGCGTGCGCTTCCAAAATGTTATAAGACCAGGCGGCAAGGTTCCCAACTTCCACAGTTGTCTGTCATGATTCTGGTGCAAAAAGAAATGGAAAGCATTTAGAATTTAAGATAGAATCCATGTAAAGTTTGAGACTTGCAGAAAAACGACCATGGAAATACTGTAATATCAATAGAATAAGAGAACCACTCTCCTTTTACGGACAGTATAACAGTTCAATGGTTTTTCGTGTCCTATGCGACATTTCCTTTGGACTCATTTCTATTTATCCATCTTCTAATTCTACCAGAGTCTATAGAGGATATCATCACGGCAAGACAATCACTAAAACGTATAATTGAGAAGAAAATCGAGTAAAGTATGATTCCTATGATGCCGCTCTCATAATTTTCAAATAGAAACAAAACATAAATTGTGCAGTGGATTGGAGAATTTACATATATGAAATTTGATCAACTTATCCACAAAATAACAAGCCACAATAGTGCGAAACAACTTGGTTAAAAGAAAGTTCTTGTTACCAGCATTTGAAGCAAAAGATAAAATTTAAGCAGACAGATGGGAGCGGATTTATTGTGTAGGAAAAAGGTTTAAGATAAAGCAATATTTGAAAACTTACGAGTTTCTGCCATTTGTGATATACATCAGTAATGTTCTGCCTCTTCCATTCCTCCAAATCAAATACATTCATTCCATATGCCCAACCACAAGCACGAGGGTCAAAATTCTTTGATATGAGCTCATTTGAGAAGTTAAGATACTTATCAAAACGATGGAAACTTTCTCCACAAGTCTCCACTGCCCCATTTACATTCCCCTTTAGGTCAAGAGACCACAGGCCAGTAAGATCTTTCTGCACAACTATGTCATCATCCAAAAACAGCACCTTTTTCAGTTTTGGGAATATCTCTGGCAAGTAAAACCGGAGATGATTCAGAATGGATAAGTACTTTGGGTTCCGGAACTTCATATTTGAATCAGAATGGGTTCTGTGAGCTTTGAAGTAATAATTTATTGCTGATGGAGAACCCAACTGCTTGAGAACTGGACTGTAACTTGAATTTAACCATGAGAATTCCTCAATACTCTGAACCTGAATAGTTGCTTTACCAGGCAAATTAACTAGGAACCACATCCTCATTGCAGCATAATTGAGCTGGTCGGTTACGATGTGGAAAACATGTTTTGAGGCATCCTGTCAAATTGCAGTGAAATAAAATAAGTTTCGATGTAATAGCAAAGTTAGAAGCAGAGAACAATTATATTTATGAGTAGAAGATATACATACCCTTGCATGAGCAATGGTCGAATTTACAACAACCGCTGCTGCCAATACATTATCTGAGAATAATGCATAATGAAACAGACTGGAGTCTTCTAGTTTTTCTTGACTGGGAAACGGTTGCTGAGAATAATTCAAGCTATAGTATTCGGTTGTCAGGCGTAAGGGAAGACAGTGAAGGCCCTTAGGAAGTGTTTTTGCCGTTAACTGAGACAAGAACAATGCTTGCTTCCTGTGCACTCGTAGCTGCTCCTCTGTGGACTGGAGCATAGCCCGAACCTTTTTGACCATCAAAGCACAGTCATCCTGAATCTGCTTTCCTCTGGTCAATGTTTCATCCATGGCCTTTAACTTCTCTTGAGCACTACATTCATCAAGGTACGTAGTTAGAGGTGGAGCTAGAAATTTCCAAAGGGAGATGCAATATTTTCCTTCCAACAATTTATATATATAATATAATCTCTCCATTCCGAAAATTGCGAGGGAGGTAAATGAGAGAGAACTTAATGAATGTAGAATGTCAAAAGGTAACAAGATGAAATATAAAAATGTTGAGAGATGCCATATAATAACATGCTCCAGAGGAATGCACTTACTCCCTAGGTAGCTCCGAATCTTTGTTTGCACGCCCTAGAATGCGTTGAATTTCTTTCATCCGTTGACGTAGTTGTCTAATAAAGTGAACGCTATTCCTTGTGGCTGAAAGGGAAAGAAATAGTTTTGCCTGGACAAGTTGATCTTTAAGATACTGAACCTTTGCATTTGGTGCAGCAACTTGATCCTCATCTTTTGCTGATTTAGATGATTCTCTTGCCTTGCGAACCTTGTCAGTGGATTGCATGGATTGTTGTTCACGCTTTCTTTCCTGGAAATCAAGCCACAGAAAGGAAGGGGCGGAGTAAAAACGAAGATACTGGAGACGGAAATGTATACATGCACGCTGAATATATTTCTCTCTAAAAAGAAAATCATTACATCAACCTAGCAGTTACCACTCAAATCAGAGACCATCATAAAGAGCTGTAAGCTATAATAACTTCAAATAACTATCGAAGTTATTTAGTAAATAGTAAGATTGTAAAGTTAAAAAATAATAAATAATTTAAATCAAAAATCATAAACTTGCAAGAGACAGCAAAACTATCATGAATCCTTAAGCTAGCAAACTGACTCAGTAGCATACTTGCAGCGGTACAGCCTTATATAAATTTTATCCATAAAAAGCCAAATTGATCCAGTAAAGATTAGATTAACATTTTGTCTGTCATTAAGGCCTTGGAACAATATGAAATTATTATATGTCGTACTCATTCTGGTCAAGAACAAAGAATCGTGAAATATACATGTTAGCAAACCAAAATCAACTTATCTAAAGAAATCTAAAGACCTTGCATTTTGATCGATGATATTGCACTATCATCCAGCGAAAACAAACAGGTAGAGAGAAAAAACGAGAGAATTAATTTGATTAATAACAAAAAGAAAAAAACAATTCAAGAAGAAGAATCCGCTCTCCATCCACAATTCATAACATGCAAGACATGATGAAAGGAAGCACTATTCTCTATTATCATACCCATTTGCGTTATTAATGTTAAGAGAGCGAAGATGTCTTAGTTCCAAAATGGTCCCAAAATTTAACAGAGAAAATATTTTCGCCTAATTTTAAGAAGGTATTAAAGGAATTTCTGCATCTGTCAAGTGAATTCTGTAGAGATTTCTACCTTCACACTATTAGTGCCAGATTGTACCGAAATGCCTTTGCTGAGATTCGGCTGCCCAAGTTGGTCAGTGATCTGCCTGATGGGATTCTCTGTACTAGAACTAACGTTCTCATTCGTGGTGGACAGTGCGCGAGCAGATATATGCTCCCGCGATTCCAGTAATTGCAAATCTTTAACGATAAGATTTGGAGAAAATATAAGCACAAGAGACATATAGATAAAATTTGCAATTAAGAACAGGAAAAAATAAAAAAAGAGATTTGAACAAACACCTTGAACTGAGCCTTGGACATCGGTTGAATTCTGCCCGGCAGCGGACAAATCATGTTCTGGATGAGCTATATTGTTAGAGTACACGGTTCCAACGGGTTCCTTAAGAGTCCTAGAGGATTCCTGATACAAGAAATAAGACCAAATAAGTAAAGATCTACAAGTTCAAACCAGAAATAAGCCGAGTAGGAAGCTGAAATTGGAGAAATGGGAAAGCAAAACACTAAATTACTTACAAGAGGAAGTATATTCAAGTGTTCAGAATGACCACTTAGAGTCTGTGAAGGAAAAGATAACAATGCATATAAGTTATTCAGATAATTCAACAAAGTAGAGTGAAAATCGTAAAATTCCACTTACAAAACTCGAAAAATCTTCCAGGAATTCGCCTCTCGCTGAGGAAGTAAAAAAAAAAAAAAAATAGCGAAAATGAGTAGCGAAGTGCTAAGAAAGCCACACCAAATCCAATCGAGCATAGAACTTACAGGAGGAGAAATTGAAGGATCCGAGACGATGAGTGTAAAGCAGAATCGGAGCAATGACAGTCACAAAAAGCATAAACAGCACCAAATTCCTCACCACCATTGTCACTCCCTCTGTCGGTCAGATTTCAAAAGAGAAATGAGAGGAAGACGGCGACGGCGGCGTAATTCAAAACGATGCGATTGCGATTCAGGTCCTTACCGTAGATCAACCATAGCCACACCAATTTCTTTATTGAGAAACTTTTTTTCTTTCTCCTTCTGAACCAAGAAATTCTCACTTGGAAGAAAAAATGCGGCACATTGAGAGAGAGAGAGTGATGGAATTTGATTTTTCCTTTTTTTTTTTCTCTTTTGATAAACGATAAAATAGAAATAAAGACAATAAGGAGCCACACACACGGAGGATTACATTATACTTTTAATTATTTAGGTTTGGTTCTATTTTTATAATATTCTTTTTCTTTTTTCAAATCTTACATATATATTTAGGTATAAAGCACTTCCTCAAATAAATAAATCAATCGACTATTTACTTTTAAATATTTTATTTTAGTTGATAACTTCTTAACATAATATTTTATTTACGTGAACATTGTAATATTAATATGTATTTTTTAAATATAACAAATCATTTAAAATTTACATAAACAGCAATAAAATACTCCATTCATATTCAAATAACATATGAAATATATGGATAAAAGTCAAAATCATGTTATATTTTAAAAAATAAAATAAAACTAATATGTGTATTGTATATTTTTAAAAATATACCTATTAAATTTATGTTTTGTTTAAAAATAAAAATTAATAGAACAATTAAAACAATATTCAAAACGACTTTGTATATCAAAATATGACCATAATATGATTTAAACCTAATGTAATATCAATTCATTAAACTAGCAATTTGAGAGTAATTAAAATCTACATATTATTAAACTAAAGAAATTATAAGTTCAATTTTAATATCAATTCATAATACGATTTTTTTTTCACCTTTGAGTGTTGGTGCAGTGGCAAGAGGTTTGCGTGTTGACATCCAAAATCCAGATTCGAGCCCTTTGTGTCCAATAATATAGTTGAAGTGTACTGATAAATGGCTTTAAAAAATGATTTTCCTCTTAATGTAAAAGAAATAAAATAAAATTAATAATGTGTATATCCTATAAAGAAAATATCATGCCTTTGCAAAAAGGAAGAGGGAAAAAAAATATCATGATTTTTTGTTTTCTAATTTCGTGAATTAGTTTACATATTTGAATTTTGAAAATGATATTTTATTTGTTTTGAAATAATTGTTTTTGTATAATCGTGTCGGCGAAGGCCATTAATGGAAACGTGAGGAGGAAGAGCGAGTAAAGGGATGCCACGTCATTCATCACTAAATTCAGTAATTATTCGGTCCCATTACTTTTCAGTTTTCACATTTTTTTTATTTCTAAATAATTTAATGCCATTAATGGAATAAGCCACTAGTGAAATAGTGTATTTTTAAGCTTAATTGCAATTTTTTTTTACCATTCAAAATTTCAGATGTAAGCTAGTTAAATTGAATAAAACAATAAAAATAATAGGTTATAAAAAATTTTAAATATTATTTTGGTCACTTGCACTCCATTTTTTTTTATTCGAGTACATGTACTCTCAAAACGTCTATTTTAATATTTGTATTTTAAAAAATTGACCAATATAATCTATGTTTGTAAAATTTTAACATGAAACTTATATACCTTAAAAACTTTATTAATATAAATGTGTGGATATATTTAAAAAAAATTAGTAAATAGAGTGTCAGTGTTAAAATTATATGATAAAAATAATTGAGATAAAAATGAAAGTGATTAGACCAAAATGGTTAAATTTAAAATTATAGAGACTAAAATGTCTCGAAAAGCTAAATTTCTAATTAATGGTGGACCAAAATAGTATTTACAACGTTATAAATTAAACTTTTAAATTTGTACCTATTAGATCATTCTATTTCCAATAAATCTCTAATATTTCACGATTGTGTTTAATTAGTTGTTATCATTTAAAAAACCCTTAAAATTGATAGGTTCCATAAATTTCAAAAAAGAAAAAAATTTTGATACAATATATAGGAGTGAGATTCGAATTCATGACATTTTGATCGAAAATATGCGTTTTAACTAATTATATAACACTGAGTTAATAATTATAAGTGTTAAAAAAATCTGATGACTTGAAAAAATCAATCAATCCCACCCAATTCAATCCAACCCACGATTTGGATTGGATTATAAACTTGTTTGTGTTGGGTTGCATTCCAATAAATGAAAATTCTATGGATTAGATCCAGAGTTAATCTAAAATAAGTGCCGGTTAATTTTAAATATAAATAGTTATATTTATTTTGACTATTTATTCTACAGTAACTTTAAATTTTAAAAAAAATTTTGTAGTCACCCACGATTTGGATTGGATTATAAACTTGTTTGTGTTGGGTTGCATTCCAATAAATGAAAATTCTATGGATTAGATCCAGAGTTAATCTAAAATAAGTGCCGGTTAATTTTAAATATAAATAGTTATATTTATTTTGACTATTTATTCTACAGTAACTTTAAATTTTAAAAAAAATTTTGTAGTCACCATAAAAAATTTTGTAGTCACCATGAAAATTATATATATAGTTATATTTATTTTGATTTATTCTACCATTTTAAAAA